AAAACTTGTATTCTGAAGGATAAGCTCCAAACTCCTGGGCATAGCATTTGAATCGTTTTAAAATCATCATCCAATCTGTGGTTACGTACATATCTCTGACCCTTTAGCCAACCATACACAAAAGAGTCTACTCTCTACCCACACAGCACAGCCACTCACTAAACCTTTTACTTTCATATCTCTCTACCTGTTTTCAAATCTCAGTACAGGCCTGAAATGCCCTTCCTTTATCCTTCTGCTGGGCCATACGAGTCATCCTGGTTCAAATTTACATTCTTCAACATAACTTCTTCCTCTGGGCTTCTACAGCATTTTGGGGAAAAGTACGAGTATGTCTGCCTTCCCCACATACTCAGAGGACCTTACTTGGGGGTCCCTAAGCATGTAGCAGTTGCTCCATCAAAATTAGCTAAATGAGAAACTAAGAAAATCAGATCATGTACAATGGATACCTTAACATTATTTTACATTAACATTATTAACAAGGTGGGGGCTGACCTTGGACTGCACCACCCAGGAAACCCCAGGGTGAGCACACCCAATGCACAGCTACAGGCTACTTTGGAGCAACACCCTGCCCCTGCACAGCTGATCCTCCACGGAGAGCAGAGGTTGATGGTCAATGGTCACAGCCAGCCCTTGCAGCTGACTGGGCTGGGTAAGTCCCTCCCACTGATCTGCCAACAGCAACCAAGGCTCAACTACAAGAGGAGGGTGTACTCAGCCCACATGAAAGGCATGCCTTGAACGCCCAGCTTGGATGATAGGGGAGGCTATGCAACTGGACCCTACAGGACACCTGCTACGTTAGGCCACACTACCAAGACAGGGAGTCAAAGCAGCTCTACCTAATACATAGAAACAAACACAGGGAGGCTGCCAAAATAAGGAGAAAAAGAAGTGGCTCAAATGAAAGAACAGATTAAAACTCCAGAAAAAGAGCTAAATGAAATGAAGATAAGCAGTCTGTTGAATGCAAAGTTCAAAACACTGTTTATAAGAATGCTTAAAGAGCCCTGGCTGGTGTGGCTCAGTGGATTGACTGCTGGCCTGTGAACCAAAGTCCCAGTCAGGGCACATGCCTGGGCTGCACGCCAAGTCCCTGGTAGAAGGAGTGCAAGAGGCAACCACACACTGATGTTTTTCTCCTCTTTCTCCCTCCTTTCTATCTCTAAAAATAAATAAATAGAATCCTTAAAAATAAAAATAAAAAAAGAATGCTCAGGAACTTAGTGAGGACCTCAGCAGCATAAAAAAAAATCCAGTCAGAAACAAAGGATCACTAATTGGAATAAAGAACAACTTACAGGGAAATAACAGTTGAGTAGATGAAGCCAAGAATCAAATCAATAATTGGGAACATAAGGAAGCAAAAAAACCAATCAGAAGAAGAAGAAAAGAATCCAAAAAAACGAGGGTAGTATAAGCAGCCTCTGGGACCACATCAAGAGGTCCAATACTCGTATCATAGGGATGCCAGAAGAGGAAAAGCAAGAAATTGGAAATCTATTTGAAAAAATAATGAGTGCTCGCTTCGGCAGCACATATACTAAAATTGGAACGATACAGAGAAGATTAGCATGGCCCCTGCGCAAGGATGACATGCAAATTCGTGAAGCGTTCAATATTAAAAAAAAAAAAGAAAAAGAAAAAATAATGAAAGAAAACTTCCTTAATTAGGTGAAGGAAATAGACATGCAAGTCTAGGAGGCGCAGAGTCCCAATCAAGTTGGATCCAAAGAGGACCACACCAAGACACATCACAATTAAAATGCCAAGGATTAAAGATAAAGAGAATCTTACAAGTAGCAAGAGAAAAGCACACAGTTAGCTACAAAAGAGTTCCCATAAGATTGTCAACTGATTTTGCAAAAGAAACCCTAAAGGCAAGAAGGGGCTGACAAGAAGTATTCAAAGTCATGACAGGCAAGGACCATCAACCTAGATTACTCTATCCAGCAAAGCTATCATTTAGAATTGAAAGGCAGATAAAGTGCTTCCCAGACAAGGTAAAGCTGAAGGAATTCATCATCACCAAGCCATTATTACAGGAAATGTTAAAGGGGTTTATTTAAGAAAAAAGATCAAAACCATGAACATTAAAAGGGCAACAAATTCACAACTATCGACAACTGAATCTAAAAAATAAAAACAGAAACAGACTAAGCAAACAACCAGAACAGGAACACAATCATAGGTATGGGGATCATTTGGAGGGTTATCAGCTGGGAGGAGAAAGGAGAGAAAGGGGGAAATGGTGCAGGGATGAAGACGCATAAATGGTGGGGAAAAAATAGATAGGGGGATGTAAAGAATAGTGTAGGAAAAGTAGAAGCCAAAGAACTTATACACACGACCCATGGCCATGAACTAAGGGAGGAGGGGGGTTGTTGAAGGGGAAGGGGAGTGGAAGGCAGAGGGGGGCCAAAAAAATTAGGACAACTGTAAAAGCATAATCAATAAAATATACAAAAAAATTACAATAAAAAATCAGTGATTACCTTAGGAAAAAAATTTTTTTTAACTATTAATATCTTTAAATATTTCAAACTAATTTTTGTCATTAATATATTGTCTGGAATTTTTGTACTTTTGTCTTCCCAGAAATATCAACCGTGGTTGCTGTGAATGATTCTACATCAAGTAGTTTCCTGAAAATAAAAGAACTACAAGAATTCCATGTTTAAAATATAATTTATTGCCCAAAATTCATAACCTTCTCTTTTAAGCAAATTTGATAGCTGCCTTAATATTCTGACTCTGGTAGCTCTTTATAGTTTGGCTTTCACTGAGGGTTTTCAACTCCAAATATGAACTGGATGGAATTCCAAAGGGCAGTGCAGAACAAATGAATCAGATTTAGAAGGAAACTTAAAATTCAACCTCTTAACATCTTATTTGATTTAATTCAAAAAACATTTAGCCACGATGAGATCCTCAGAAGGGTGGGGAGAAGTCAGTGACAGTCTTAGGCCTCAAGGATCTCATATAACAAAGGAGATTAAAAACAAATTAAATATACTGCAACTGAACGAAAACTGGATAGCAACCAAAGAGGTGCAGCGTGCTGAGGATATTTAAAGGGAGACAGTACCTGTAATGGGCCTTAATAGAATTTTCACAACAGAAATGGTATTCCAGGCAGAGAAAGAAGAGTGCAATAACAGAGAGAATACACTGAAGAACTTGCAAAACATCAGAATAATAAAGTGTGTTGCATGTCCTTATGGAATCAAAGTGTGGATAAATAATTACCAAGAATTTCAGGAAAATAAAAAGGAGCCAATTAGTGTTGAAAGCTATAGTAGGATTAACGAGAATTAAGTATGAAAAATAAAGACAAGGACATGTCACAGTTTCATAATCAGATCATTGGTAGCCTTACCTAACCTCAGTGATGAGATCAGAAACTAGTGTAAGATATTTCAGCATGGAAAAACAAAGGTGGCGCAATATAAAAGGCTCATCATGAAAAAAAATAATTATGGCAAGGAGAAAAACAGACTTTTTTAGAATACAAAAGACCTCAACATGTTTGCTCAGAGGGGAAAGGAATCAATGGAAAGACAAAAATGGAAAGATTCAAAAGGGAGAGGGTATAGTTTTTGCAACAAAGTTACAGAAAGCTGTTGGAAAGAAAAGCATGCAAAGAGGAAAGCTGGGTCTTGGAAAGGAAAAGGGACTTTTTCCTCTAGGAAGGAGGAGTACTTCTCAGAGAGAAGAGCAAATTAGGAGGGAATCCTGAAAGGGTTGGGGGGGGCGAAAGTGCTTAGAGGAGCACAGGAATTTAACAAGGACAGGAAGAAAATCAGCAAGAGACAAAAAAAATTCCAGCAGCCGTGAGACTTCCATTAAGAAATAAACTTGGCAGAGGTCCAAACAACATCAGAGGACTGGGAAGCTATGAGGAGAAAGCAAATTGCGGGAAAGGAAACCAAAAAGTGACTCACCTAAATTAAAATCACTCAGGTTGGCAGGGCTGAGACAAGTCCCCAGCCAACTCTGGCTTCCTCGTTCAGCACTCTCTTTTGACTATTCTGCTTCCTTTTTTAACGAAATTGATTGGGGGAGGGGGGACTCAAATATTGGAAAAATTTTAGTTTCGGGTAATAGCTTAAAAGCTTAGTAATCAATGTATATAAAAAGCTATTGTTTCAGGAATTAAGGGTATGACCCACCTTGGCTCCAGGAGACTATAAGCAGTTCCACCTTTGTGCCTCAGGAGGACTGCATGCAATCAAGATGGTATCTGGGCTATTGTACTCCACAGGTGACACTGCCCAGGACACCAATAAAGACCACCGCCAAGGCACACATAGAAACCATCACCCAGCCCTGGCTGGTGCGGCTCAGTGTATTGAGCACAGGCCTGAGAACCAAAGGGTTTCTGGTTCATATCCCAGTCAGAACATATGCCTGGGTTGCCGGCCAGGTCCCTGGTGAGGGGTGCACAAAAGGCAACCACACATTGATGTTTCTCTCCCCCTCTTTCTCCCTCCCTTCTCCTCTCTAAATATAAATAAATATCATCTTCTTAAAAAACAAAAGACCAGCGCCCAGGGCACAGATGAAAGGATGCTGCAGCTTTTATCTGAATAACTTTTCCCCTGGATTCCAAACCCCTAACCCACACTATTCTTCTCCTTATAAAATGGAATTTAAAATGGTCTGTTAGTGTACAAACCTGCCGTCTTGTCAGATCACCGACCATCGGAATAAAGCACCCAAAGATTTAATCCCTGTCTCTGCTTATTGGGTCTGGTAGGTAACAGGCAGCACTACCACCGGCTTTTCCGGTTTCAAAATTTTCCTAAGCCTGGTTAAGTTTAAAGATAATGGCCAGTTTTAAAGTTTTCAAGCTGTGCTATTAAAGCAGTGTAATGAGATACTCATTTTTTGAGTTCTAAGACAATAAAACTAGGACTTTTTACATGTAAAACGTCATCGGCTGTGAAAAGTCAGAGAATTCATTGTCACACAAATCCCAGAAGGATACTCACCTGGCAGCTTCGGGAAAACCCATCTTGTAGATTGTGACAACTACAGCTCCTCCAAGGCCTAAATTATGCTGCAGAGCAACCTTTGCACCAGGAACTTGTCTTTTTCCAGCTTCCCCTCTCAGCTGCCAGCAGAGTTCCACGCACTGAGCCAGACCTAACAAATCGAACACAGAGCAGTCAGAGCCTGTTGCTTTAGAAAAGCTGCACCAACAGCTAGCTTGCTTAAACCAGGTAAGGGCTGGCTAATGTTCAGCTGTGACTTTTAATTAAAGCATTTAATTAAGCTGAGACGACCTTTGCTTAAATAACTTCTCTTAAAAACACTAATAGTTTTGCACCTAGTTTTCTTTAGTAATCTCTGTATTTAGACAATATGCAGGCCTAAGAAATTCTCTGCACTCTTTAAATTTATCCAACCTGTTTTCTGGCCAGTTTAAAAGAGAAAGCACTGAGTATAAAGTTCCCTGACCCAGGCAAAACAGCATAAAAATAATTTAACTAATTTTACCATTTTTATGTATCAAAAGGAAAAAAATCTAGGATTTGGGAGTTAATGTTACCTAAAAAATTTAGCTGGTATGGGGAATTTTCCTACTATTTTCCCCAAATAGTTCACAACAAAAATGAATTGTTTTCCAAACCTATACGTAGCTATAGGCGATTTTGTACCCTGGATAATAAAACCAAAGATTTTTAGAACTGAGAAGAACTTAATCATATAAGTACTGAGAAATTGGAAGATTAAGTAATTCGTGAACAGGTACAAAGCAGGCTAATTCCAGAGTTGAGATTAGAAGCCAAGTCTCCTTATTTCCATTTGTTTATCATTCTACCAGACCAGCTATTGGAGGATAGCTGCGATAAGAATGTTCTGTCCTGATAGACTGGTTTCCTCCTCCTGGAGGCGGAGCTTCACTGGTCTACTTACAATGCCTGTTCTTCCACCCACACCTCCATGGCAATGTCTGACTCCTGAATATCTGTGACCACGTCCTATACAAGCCCCATCTTCCTCAAGAAATTTAAATGCCACTTCTCATTTCCAAACAGTGTCTATATATTTACAGAATATATATCTTAAACACTGTTTAAAAATAGGGAACTCCACACTCTGTAATAATTTTTTCAATTGTGAACATTTTGAATATTAATTAGGAAGATCAAAGTGAATGATTTTACTAATATAACCAAACTTTGGGTCAATCAGTTTACTAGAAATCTGCCAAATAAAAAGCTTAAAGAGTTAATAAATATATAAGACAAAAAAACGTATTCAAACTGGTCTTGTGACTCACCAGTGGGTAAATACTGCCAGCTTTCTTCACGAAAGAATATATATACATCGTTCACAAATATTTGAGAAATATTCAACCTCACCTCGATCAAATCAAACAGAACGATACCAATCAAATTGGTAAGGATGTTTAAAAATGAGACTAATCATTCTGGGGAGCCTATGGCAACACAGCCACTTCCAGAAAATGTGAGTGAAAGTTCCAATCAGTACAACCTTTTTGGAAAGCAATGTACAAAATTACTAAGAGCCTTTAAAATGTCTTGAAAACCATTATATGGATATAATCAAGTGTAGGGGTTCAGAGCAGGCCTCCCCAAAATATGCTACTCTGATATGTGAATTATTTTAAGCTGAAAGCAATCAAAACCCTATAGGCTCATGAAAAACTTTAACCTCTCCCTTAAAGAATTTAAATTAGGGGCCTTTCCCATAAAAAGAGTTATCATCAGACATAATTTTTTTTAGCTATCTATCTTTCAGGGCAAACTACTGTACTAATTACTGAACAATCTGCTCTTCTTATTGGCCTGCAATGACCTTCCTCCCCTCTGAAGCACCAAGGCACCTTATCCCATTCCTTATCTCAGAATATCACATATACCTTATTTTCCCTTTCTGGCTCTGAACCTCTCATTTATGTGGGGGCTGTGACTCTCTCATGTATATAGGGGGTTCCCATGCATATGTATGTAATTAAGTTTGGTCATTTTCTCTTGTTAATCTGTCTCATGTAGATTTAATTATTACACCAGCCAAAAGAACCTTGAGGGTAGAAGGGAGTTTCTTCCTCCCCAACACAATCATAGGCAAAGTTTAACAAAACTATCTGTTTATTACATTGTTATAACAGTAAAAAAATAGATAATCTGGAAGTGAAGTAATTGGGAAATGGTTATATAAATTAAGAGCTATATGACAAATTACTATGTTCCTATTTAAAATGATATTTATTTAGGAAAATTTTTTTAACAATTTAGGAAAATGCTTATGATATCTTAGTAAAAAATGCAATGAACCAATTAGATAGCCATCTATCCATCCATCCAACAAATACTTATTAAATGTCTATTTTGTACCAGACACTGCACAAGGCTCAGAACCTCCAGAAATAAACAAGACTGACATGGTCTTTTCCCTTATGAAACTGATAGTCTTGAAATATAAAAATGCAGGCTTTTACAATACGGTCTGATAATGCTACCACAGGCATTAGCACAGGTGCTACAAGTACACAGAGGAAGAATGTCTCACATAGCTTGGTAGGTCAGGGAATGAGTACAACATGATTGGACATCTAAACTGAGATCCTATGAATAAAAAGGAGCTAGCTAGGCAAAAAGAAAGAATGCTTCGTGAAGAGCTATGAGCATGTGCAAAGAAGGAAAATGGCCTGCTTAAGGAATAGAAATTTAAGTGAGACTAAAGAGTGCTCAAGACAGCCAACATGAAGAATGCGAGACAGGGGACTGGGAGGGAGGGAGGAAGGGAGGGCGGGGGAGGGAGAGAGATGGGGGAGGGAGAGAGATGGGAGAGGAAGGGGGGGGAAGCAGAGATGGGGAGAGGAGGAGGGAGAAGAGAGACAGGGATGAGGGAGAGGGGAGGGTGGCAGGCAAAGAAGGGGAGAGGGAGGGAAGGAAGGAGGGAGAGAATATGCATAAGTACTAGAAACATTTACAGATTTTGCAGTGATTTCAATTGCACCATACAACTGACATTGTAGAAGATGTGGAACCCTGAGATAAATCTCTACTTATGATTTGCCTAACTCATATATAGCAAAGAAAAAAAAAAAAGAAGGGATGGAGAAAATGAACATCTATATTATCAACTAATTTCCCTGTAATTTATTTGCTTTTGACAAAACATGAGTGTCTGAGAGAAAATACACCAGTTATTTGAGCTTTCTGGTTGTCTACCTTCAGAATAAACTGGTGATTCTTATATTTCTACACTTGATCTTGGCCAAAAGGCCAAGAAGCAATTGTGTATGTCTAAAACCTAGACATACACAATCTAGATCTATGAGGGGTGAAAGTCAAAGTTGGCCTCAGAAATCCACTTGCCAAGAAGTCATGTTATAAAAGCATAAATTATTTGAGCATATTTTTAAAAAAATTTCCCCCCTTAGATAACTTCTGGCACTAAACCATAATATTCCCTCTGCTTGGAAAAAAATAAACTATCAAACATGGATGTGTTTAAAAATTGTGGATGGGCATAGGAATAGGCATCCTGTCAAAGTAGTATATTCAAACAGTAATGCCTGTCTTACAGTCTCTTATAAAGGGGAATAAAAATTTTAATCTGATTATTCATTTTACTACCATATTGCTGCAAAAAACAAAAACAAAACAAAACAAAAAGAAACCCAAGATAGGCAATCTTGCCCTGGCTGTTGTGGCTCAGTGGATTGAGCACCAGCCTGCAAACCAGGGGGTCGCTGGTTCGATTCCCGGTGTAGGGCACATGCCTGGGTGGCAGGCCGGAGCTCCAGCAGGGTGCACACAAGAGGCAACCACACACTGATGTTTCTCTCCCTTTCTTTCTTACTCCCTTCCCCTCTAAAAATAAATAAATAAACTCTTTAAAAAGAAATTAGTCTAGGATTCAGCTACATAGATATATCATTTAGTTTTTACTGAAAATAAACAATTCAAACATGTATCAAGCACTCCACTAAGTACTGAAGATACAAAGAATTCACAGTGTAATATAGAGGGTTAATAAAGTAATAAGTACTATGAAAAACCACAGAATGGAAACAGTACAACATCTATTACATGAAGTCTTTTCTTCCTCCTGCCTCCTTGAACCCATCACTCTTCCTATACTATCAAGACAGCAAAATATAAAGAAGTAAAAATCCAGCTTTAGTTTTAAATTAGATATTAAAAGGCCTTAGCATACACTATATTAAAAAGCATGGTATTCTATTATTGAAGGCTGGCTTTATGAAAAAGGAAAGGTTTGTTGAGTTTCAGAAGACAAAAAGCTTTAATGGACTCAGCATACAATGAATAATGTGTATTTTATACAACAGCAGCTTTTTCCTCTGAAAGTTATAAAATTATCAACCTAGAATGTTACCAAATGTAAAATACCATGCAAAAACAAAAGTAATATAAATACATTTTAGACATAAAAGCTGAAAGAATTTGTCACCATACAACAATATCCACACTGAAAGAAATGCTAAAAGAAGTTCTTCAGGAAGAAGAAAAATGATAGCAGACACAAATACAGATTTACACAAAGGAATGGAGAGCCCTAGAAGGGGTAAGTAACTATGTCAGTAAATACATCAACTTTTTTTCTTATTGTTTCTCTCTCTTTCTCTCTTTCTCCCCCGCTACCCCTTCTTCTCTCCCCTCTTCCTCTCTCTCCCCCTTCCTCTCTCTAAAATTAGTAAATTTTTAAAAAATCAAAAAGATTAACCATACCAACTGCTGATAAGGATGTGGAGGAACTAGAACTGTCATACACTGCCGATGGGAATGTGAAATGATATGACTAGTTTGGAAATCAGTTTGACAGCTTCTTAAAAGTTACACATACATCTAGCATATGATCCAGTCATTCTACTCCTGGGTGTATGCTCAAGAGAAAACATAATATATGTTTGTACGAAGGTTTGTGCATGAATGTTCACAGTAGCTTTATTTGTAATAGCCAAAAGGTGGAAACAACCCAAATATCCATCAACAATAAATCATGGTATAGCCATACAATGGAATACTACACAGCAATAAAAGAGAATGAACTACTGATACATGCAATAACATGGATGAATCTTATGCAAACAAACAAAAAAAAGTACATATTTTAAAGATACAATTTATATAAAACTCTAGAAAATG